TAGTCCAGTGAAAGAAAGTGTGGCCTGTTTGTTTTAAGTTATGAAGCTCTGTGCTCTTCCTTTAAAACATCATGGGAGTTAAAGCTTTGCCTTCCCAAGGGGAGAGAATGGGACTCTTAAACGCAAGGCATGTCTTCAAGTTTCCTTTAACTTCCTTTAGAGCAATAGACAGAGAGAGTGATAGATAGGATGTTGAAAAATTTACTGTCATGTTTCATCTTCCATTTCTTAAACTGCAACATTTACAGTGTGGTTTTCTTTTTCTGGCAATTACCAGGAACACAGTCTCATGGCGCACATGGGCCTTGGCTCAGGAACCACTAACATTTTTGATGACGTAGACAAGAGTGACTTTAAAAGTGACTTTGGTTCTGAGTTTCCAGTAGGTTCAACCTTTGATTCTCATTGACAGTTCACCCACCAATTCCCACCGCCCGCTGCTTGTCTCCATCTTTTTATTTCTTGCCTCACGTCTTGGAATGACTCACGCTTGTCATGTGAATGTCACCCACCCTGAGTCACAGTGTTTTCCTGCACTTGTTTCTGCTCTAGCCTTCCTCACTGCGGGGTGCATTGCCTCCTTTGTGAAATACACAAAACCGACTGACTGGCTCGGACACTTTTATTTGGGGATCATTCTCTCCGAGGAGTATGGGGCTGTAGTTTCATTATGAGAATCTATGCACCGAGTTTCTAAAGAATAGCATTATGGGTTAATTCATTTTTTCTATTGTCTCTCAGTATAATGTGTTTTTCATGAATCTTGCTAACTATTTTATAAAATCGTTGTTTGGTTGTACATTTTAAAACATTTGTCTATGGATTAATCTTATTAAGCACGTGTTTTTGGAGGAAATGTAACCCTTTGGGGATAACATTTTTAAGTTTGCTTACATGGCCAGTCCTCTTATTGGTTAGGCCACCCCCACCCTCCCTCCCCACCCATGTGTGTTTTTCATTTACCCATTTTCTTAGGGTGGGGGGCAGTGATACTGACAGATTTTTTTTTGTGTGATTTACTTTTGTGGAAATTAATAAAGTTTCTGTGAGCATCTTGTGTTTGAAGTTCTGGTATGTGGTACAGTGCTTGGTTTTGCTCTCTTCATTAATGATGTCTAATATTTGTTTTACATGACATAGATTTTTTCTCCCATGCCTGGAGAATCCTGTGAGAATGCCAACCCTTCCCTGAGCAGAAGAATGTCACTTAATGGTGAGAAATTGCTAAAGAGAGAAAAACCACGGGAATTAATTTTTCCATCAAATTATGACCTCCTCCGTCATCTGCAGTACGCAACCCACTTTCCTATACCTCTGGTAAGTCACGCTTCCATCAATGTATACCATGATGATTTCCTTATATGGTCATTGGTGATTGGATGTCAGATTATTCACCCACTCATCTGCTTACACATAATGATGTCAGGTGAAAATTTGCATTTGTTGCTTTGATGGCTATAATTTGGATCATATGGCCTGTGTACATATATAGCTTGGATGTTGTGGTGTGATTATTAGTGACTAACTAGATTTAATTGAGTTCCCTGTATTAATATCCTTTTAATAGAATTCCCTGTATTATTAAAAGGATTTGAGTCATTGCAAATAATGACTAAATATGTTTCCTACTTTAATTTGAAAGTCGTTTGCTGATTAGTTTTTTTTTTTAAACCTGTATTGTTTGACTGTTGGTACTTTTGGCATTTTATGGATGAGTAAGAATTTTGGGGCCAGTGAAGCAATTGGGTGGTAAAAACCTGTGCCCACTAAAGGCAAGCTTTTGACATTCCTGGGTCCCTTCCATTCTCAAAGTGAATATTGGCAAGAAGGACCATTATCACTGAGAAGTTGGTTCTGACTTGATGACAGAGGATGCGGATGGCGTGGGCTTGGCTTTGGACCTGGTAGAGTTAAAGCTTGGATAGTGCTTGAGGAGAGCTTGACAGGGAACTTAGTGTTGAAGTCTTAAATAATGAAGTGTTTATCCCAAAGAGAAACCAGAGTATTTTTGATGTTAGTAATGAACATTAGGCTAAAAGCTGAGACATTTTTAATTATTTGGTAAACTGTTTCCTGCATGGTATGTTTGAACACTTAGAAGTTTTGAACAGTAAGCTGAGGATTTTGTTAAAGCTAAATATAGTTGGTATGTTGGAACATCTTCCAAAATGACTCAAACTCACTAAGCCCATATTTTTGGTCTTATGTCAGTTAAAACGCCCTTTTCGTTTGTGTTCTTGTACTATGTTAAAACTTTACAAAATTCTTTCTTGTTCATCTCAGAGTATTACCAGTAATTTTCTATGGCTCTTTGTATCACCAATTTTCTTTCTTTTTTTTTTTTTTTTTTGGTTTTTCGAGACAGGGTTTCCCTGTGTAGCTTTGCGCCTTTCCTGGAACTCGCTTTGTAGACCAGGCTGGCCTTGAACTCACAGAGATCCGCCTGGCTCTGCCTCCCGAGTGCTGAGATTAAAGGCGTGCACCACCACCGCCCGGCACCAATTTTCAATACAGCAGAGTAATCTGGCAGTTCATTTGTGGTACCAGAGAGATTGGCCTTACATATTACAGATGTTTCTGACACATTCCTGGAGGAAGTATCATGCCTTGGGTTTGTTTTAAAATATTAAGCGTAAACTTGGCAGTGGTGGCCCATGCCTTTAATCTCAGCACTTGGGAGGCAAAGGCAGGTGGATCTCTATGAGTTTAAGGCCAGCCTGGTCTACAGAGTGAATTCCAGGACAGCTAGGACTGTTACATAGAGTGTCTCCAAAAAAAAGTGTAAAATGATATAGTGAAGTGCTGGAAGTAGTTGAGAGTTACATGCGCTGCTCTGGCCTGTATAAGCAGCATTTGCATGTCTGTATGCTCTGTGCTTCTGAGATCTGAGCAGGTACCAAAATCAGCTTCTTTGTTGTGCTCACATGACCTTGTCTACCTCCTTCGAGGAAAGTGCTGCTTGATGATGTCCCTTGACAGTTGTTGTAGGTTCTAATTGTAATTTTTATTAATTTTTACATGTGCTTATGCAGGCATGTAAGGTGTATGTGTTTGTGTGCAAGTGTGTGCACCTGTGCACACATTCACGGGGGCCAGAGCAATGCGTCCTACTCTACCATTTTCTGCCTGTCCCTTTGACACAGGTTTCTTACTGTAGCTAGAACAAGGCTGGTGGCCAGTGAGATCTCCAGGGATCTTCCTGTCTCTGCTCCCTACAATGCTGGGGTACAGGAGTGAATAGCAATTCCTGGCTTTTTATAATGGATTCTGGGATCTAAACTTAGCACCTCATGGTTGCACAGGAAGCGAGCGTCCTTACCTGCTAAACCACCTTTGGATCTAGTTTTCAGTTAGTTTTTGTTCTAGTTCCTTTCTGTTGCAGTGATAAACATCACCACCAAAAGCAACTTGGAGAAGGAAGGGTCTGTTTCATCTTACAGATTACAATCTTATCATGAAGGAGGAAGTCGGGGCAGGAATTCAAGCTAGGAACTGAAGAAGAGGCCATGGAGGAATCCTTGCTACTGGCTTGTTTCTTCTGGTTTGCTCAGCCAGCTTTCATATACCATTTTAGGACCACCTGCCCAGGGTGGCACTGCTCGGAGTAGGTTTGCCCTTTCCACATTAATCATTCATCAAGAAAATGCCTATAGACTTGCCTACAGCCAATCTGATGGAAGCGTTGTCTCTCTTTCCTCTTCTAAAATGAATCCACTTTGTGTCAAGTTGACCAAAATACCCTACCAAGCACAGCTTTCCACTACTGACTTATTTAAGGCCCCCCTTTTATAATGACTATAATTGAGAATAAATCAAAGGAAAAAGATAGGCTAATAAAATATTGACCTTATATTGATAATCTTTTTCTTTTCTGATTAGGAGAAATATGACTACGTGTTGTGCATGAGAAGAGAACATAAGACTATGTTTTGGTCTTTTGCTAACTTTGTTATCTTAGAAACTAGAGACCAAGGAAAGAGGATGAAGGGGTACTTGAATAAAGATTCAAAAATAGTTCTGCATATACTTTTTCATGGCTGTTTCGATCTGCTTTTTTACCAGGAAAAAAAAAGTGTTGTTTAGGCAACTGATAAGTACAGGTTTTATTGTGTATGCATTCTACCTCCCTGTAATCTGGCAAGAATTGACAGGGTGTGTTGGAGTTCCTGTCATTGACGTTTTCTAGAAGCTACTGTTAGAAGTTTCTTTTTAAAATATAGAAAAATTGGTGCTTTTTAAATTATTTTCATCAGGCTAAGAATATATTTGTGAACTTATACACAGGACTTTGGAACTAATTCTTCAAGTAAAAAAAAATAACATTGCAATTTAATTTATATTCTTGGTGTCCAGGAGCACATTCATTTTTCCCTCCCTCCCTCCTTACCTCCCTTCCTCTACCTTCCTCTTTCTTACCTCCCTCTTTCTTACCTCCCTCCTTACCTCCCTCCCTCCTTTCTTCCTTCCTTTTTTCCTCCCTCCCTCCCTCCTTCCCCTCTCTCCTTCCTTCCTCTCTAGATTTATTTATTTAATGTGCATATGTGTGAGTGCCTGCATGTATGTATGTGTACCATCAGCATACCTGGTGCCAGAGGAGCGGAAAAGAGGGTTTTGGATCCCTTCTTCTGCCTGTGGAGTTACAAGCAGTTGTGAGCCTCCTATATGGGGTGCTGGGGACTGAACCTGGGCCCTCTGCAAGAGTAGCAAGTACTTTTAACTACTGAACTGTCTCTCTAGCCCATTAGTAACTATTTTATATGGATTTTTGTAATGTTAAGAATATACACAGAAGAGCTTCTTTTAGTAGCACATGTCTATAATTCTAGAACTTGGGAGGTAGAGGAAGGAAGTTCAGGAGTTTAAGATTATTTGCGGCTACATAGTGAGCTCAAGGCTGCAGTGAGCTGTAGGGGATCCTGTCACAAAAATAAATAAGATGATGAAGGAAGAGGAGGAGGAGGAGGAGGAGAAAAAGAAGAGGGAGGGTACTAAACCAAAACACAAATGCAAACTTTGTAATGCTCATGAGTACTTTTCAGATTTTCTTAGTAAGTTTATTTAATGCCATGCCTCACCTGTGTATGTACTGGCAGTGGAGAGTGGAGAGGATCTAGTCAGAGCTGGAGTGACTTGTACTTTGTACTGCAGATTCTTTCTGATTGCTGGGCCTCTATAGATTTGAGAGGTACTGTGGCCTAATATAGGTTATGTTCCTAGCGTGGCCTGGTAGTATGAGTCCATGTCTCTACTTTAAGACTCTTTTGCTGGTCTTACTTTTCTAATACCTTTGATGTGGACTTTTACTTCCAAAACAGTTTCAATAGTTAATATAATTTAACAGCTCCCTTGTGTTGCTAAAAAACATACCCATTTATTTGCAATACCCTTTTAAAGTTAATTAGGGATAGGATCCATTTTATAGGCCAGGATGGCCTGCAATTCACTTTGTAGCCCATGCTAGTCTCAAACTCATAATGACCCTTTTGTCTCAGCCTCCAGGGTGCTGGAATTAACCACAGTGAGCCACAGTTCCTGTCGCTGTAAACTTTTCATAACTAAAATTTGTTATTGTGTTGCAAAAAATCAGATGTTAAAAATAAGAGTACTAAATAGAGCATTTACTAACTTTCAAAGAGGTAGGATAAAAATGAAGATGATGCCGGGTATTTTGATATCTTTATTTTTTGAGGTTGATTAAGACCTTTAAGATCATGTAGCTGGAGGGCTTCCGGCAACTTAGATGCTGATTATTTGGCATATTTTCATCAAGAAGTCATTTGCAGCCATTGAAATGAGCCCCTGAGTCCTTGCCATGGCTCTTCTCACTTTGGTCACCCAGTTGACCCTGGTTCAACATGCTCTGTTAACTTTCCTGTACAAATATTTGGGCTAAAGAATATCAGCAACTGAGTACAGGGTTGGCTTGTATTGAGAAAAGGACTTCTCACAGGAACCAGTCCATGTTTGCTAGCTGTCAGCAGCTTTTATTACTGTTTATCTTCCTTTATCTTTGAAAACTATGAACGGCTTTGTGGTTCCGTAGGGAACTAGCATGCAGACCCCTGTATTTTACACATCATTTTCACATCTTGAGTTTTCTTTCTGAGCCTTAGTCTTTTTAGGCGAGGCAAAAGTCTCAGTGACCTTCAGTCGAAATGCTTTTGAGAGATGATAGTACAGGATTGGATCAAAACACAAATTGGACACAGCCAGGAGCAGTGTGGCCTCTTTGGCTTTGAAGAGGGAGATCCTCGTTGAGCAATCAGATATGACCTCCGTCTGACTGAGGGTGTATGGGATCCTGACAGCGTGGTAAGGAACAAAGCATATGATGTAACTAGTTGTCACCAAGAGAATGTTGGTTAGAGCTGTTTTCACATTTGGATAGTTTGCATTGTCTCTATTTCTATAGAGTTGTCTAATTACAAGGAAGTTGGATATCAAAATGATGGCTGAGAAATTTAAAAATATTGCTACACATATGAAATTTGTTAACAAATGCCAATTTCTTCCAAACTCCTTTTTAAATTCCATGCAACCTACATTTGACTTTTCTTTGATGTCCTTGATGGGAATCACCATGTTCGGCACCATTATTAGAAGAACCATGAACCACACAACAGTTGATATCATTTTTGCAAATCCAGGTTCTTGTATTCGGTATATTTTGCAGCTGTGTATTAACTGAAGACAGCGATCGATGCTGACAAAGGCTAAGAAGATAATAGACAGGTACATATTGATGTAGATGAGGCAGGCTGTTACTTGGCAGTGGAATATCTTTAGCTTCCAGGGTGCCACACCCAAGTCAACAACAATTTTTACTGGTAATGCCAGAGTGAGCAGGAAATCAGCTGTAAGCAGATTAATCAAGTATATGCTCACACACCTGTGATTGGTGGTTTTCTGTATAAAAGCCCACGTTGCAAAACAACTTCCAATGATTCCAATGAGGAAAACCAAGTAAAAAAAATATGTAAATGGTTCCAGATCTCTGTAAACTGGACAGAACAGTGAACTGTTTGTCATCTTCAGGGAGAAGCTTGAGTTCAATAATTAAAAAACAAAATGAACCACGGATCTGTTAGAAAGAGTAGAAGGGAGATGTTAGTAACTAAAATGAGAAAATAATTTTCTTGAAAACATTTGTACTCTAAAATCATGGCCTTCCTAGTTTTTAGGAAGAGTTTCACTGGGCTAGAGGGAACATCCCAGATCGTTCCGTGTTCTCCACTGTCTGATTTCTGTGACTTTCAGGAAATCCCAAGTAAATTTGCTTTTGGGAAGGGATGTTTGTGACCTTGTGGGTTTGTGTTGTATAGCTCTCTGTTACCCGTTGAGGGTGAAATTTCTTTGCAGAGGTGGTGAATGACCAGAGCTTCTGGGAAGTGGAGAGAGGAAGGTGCTGTGGTTTTGTCTGAAAAGATTTCAGTGCGGCTTTCTGCTTTTCTTTTTGTAGGTTTTGTAGCTAATGCTGCAAGAACCTAGGCTGACTGGGGAAAAGGCAACAGCAAATGGTAGAAAGGTTTTCGTGTTGTTATTTTAAAAGCAGGTCCTCTGTTGTGAATCCTGTTAACATATTTTTAGAAATAAAATTTCGTCTCTTTATTTTCAGTGGGAAGAGTTGAAGGGTTAGACTCTGGTTCTGAATTGATGCCTGCTGCCCCCTCCTCATGTCCCAGTTTTGTGATAGTATAGATCCTGAAGGCCAGTGTGCGGCCTCCAGCTCTGTGTGGCTGGTGAACAGTTTAAATGGGGAACATATTAAAGATTTTGTTTAGTTGCCATATTTAACTCTGAATACCTGTGTAATATTTTTTGTTATGCTATTCTTGCTATGTTAATGAAATTACTTTCTTGTGTTTGTTTTTACTTTTTAAAATTCACTTAATAGAAAAACTTGTATTGTTGGAGTTTGACAAGTATTTTTGTCGAATATAATGGCTGTAACTGTTTCTACGGAAGTGTTTTATACTAGTTTTATGAAAGTGCATTTTTAAAAGCTTCTAAAACATGAATCTATACTTATTGGTTACAACATTTTTGTAACCATTACAACCTTCTCCAAAAAAGGGTCAGTTATAGGTATATTGAAATTTGTAGCTTTATTGGACCTGTTGGTACTAATTTATAATCTCAGCACTCATGGGGGAACACTAGTTTAAGCTCATTCTTGGCTAAATGGCAAGGCTAGCCTGGTATACATGAGACCTTGTCTCCATCTGAAACAAAACAAAACAAAAACCCTTTCTAACTTTCACAGGAGAAGAGCACCACAGTTGAGACAATCTGATAATGATAATAAAATCTTGTCATGCTCCTTCCAGGTAGAGAATACTGGCTTGACTTGTGAGTTCAAGTTAAACTCATCTCCCTTTGGTATGGTCGAGTCTAACTCCCATGTTTAGGGCCACACGTGGTACTTTGTGCTATATGTCCTGATGTGGGCAATCCATTTTCATATTAAATAATACGTTTTTTAAGAAGTGAAGTCAAAAATACCACTTTAGTAAAACAAATGGAATTTCCTGAACATCCCAGAAGTCAGACAATGTAAAACCTGGGGTTCTCAGTCTTTAGAGTTTTTTAGGAACAAAAATCATACATAACGTTTCAGGATATTGGAAGTTTACTGACTGACAATAAAAGGGCTCAGCAACCATAAAATTTGTCTTTAAATCAAACAACTTCTAAAGTCTTATTAAACTTTAACATCTCCAAATATTTAATGATACAATATGTGCCTTTAAAATTTATTTATTATTATGCATGTTCATGATGTATGGGCCTGGGCGTGCCTTGGCATGCATGTGGAGGTCAGTGGACAGACAACTTTGTGAAGTCAGTTTTCTCCTTCTACCCTTTCCTGAATTCTGGGATGGAATTTAGGTCTGCGCATGCACCTAATTTACACCTTTACTGGCTGAGCCATCTAATGGCCCTGCTATGTTTTCTTGGAATGGTGTAATGATTGCAAGTAAGTCGATAAGGCAGATGTATATCAGATTTTCTTAAGTGTCACTTAAAGGTTACATGGTCTTCCCTTTTCCCCAGAGGAGTCAGAGCTTTCAGGGTCCACGGGTACTGTCATTCTGTACCAACCTTAATGAAAATTATAAAGAACTTACTATTTGTGTTTGATGACTATCCATTTTTTTAAAATGTTATATGAGTCCTGTTGTGTGGTTGCTATAATCTGAGGTATGCCAACCTTAAATCCATTGCTTGGATAGCTGGCCAATTACAGAGCCAAGATTCCATCTCAATCATGTTTCAGAAGCCACAGTCATGTCCATGATGATTCTAATGTTAATACTGTAAAGGACCAATCCTTACCTGAGGGTTTTGTGGCAGGAATACTCTTAGCCGTTTTCATGTAAAACAGCTTAAGTAAAATTCATAGTTTTAACATTCCTCCCAAGTACTCTAGTAATAAGAGAAGTATAGGTATTCCATGTGTTTTGTAGTGTAATTTTACTGTGTGTGTGTGTTCACCCTCATGTGCATGTATACACATATTTATATGTTTATATATATTTATGTAAAAGCTAACTTCATGTCTTTGATGTAAATTTCTATAAACTGTCAAAGTTATCATGACTCACTTTTTTCTTAATATCCCTGATGGCTGCCTTTGCTTTCAGTGCTGGGCTTGAACTCAAGGCTTTTGCATACCTAGCATGATACCTATCACTGGTCTACACCTCCATCTCTGTTAGCCCAGAGTCTCACTTTAGATTGTTTGAGTGTGCACTCTCTGAATAAGTCCTACCTATCTCTATATGTAAGTGTTTGGTAGAATTTTAGAATCATGGCACTTTAGTGATGGGTGGATTCTTTATTGGTGACTTCTTTTCAGTCCTCAAATAAATTGAGGAGGCTGCAGAGTACTCAAGATTTCTGCAGCTTATTTGGGCTTGATGAAGATCTGTACGTGCTGAACATTCTCTGGACTCTTAGTCTTTCTCCTTCTTCCTCTTTGTGAGCCTTGCCTATAGACCTGTGGGCCGGAAGGAGACTCTTCGTGTCTGAATGTCACTCAGGCTTCTCTGACTTCCTTATAGCCATTTCAGATGTTGCATAGTGACAGTAAATAGTTACTTGTTTCTGTAAGTGCCCTGTGGCTTAAATAATGATATGGCGAGCCCTCATTTTATTGGTAAGGCATATGGTAAAGAGAAGTATTATAATAGTTTGTCTTGATTGGCAGTCTCTCTAATTAGAACTGACCATCTATTCCAGAGTGGGGTAACTTACTTCAAAGAGTCACAATGTAATGCTAGAGAGTCTTGGGTGCTTTGCATTTTCTTTTTAACTGTGTCTAGATTACCATGAAAAAATAGTTTCCCAAAACTTTGCATATGTTGATCAGAGCAAAATTGTACTATAACCATATCCCGTGCTCTCTATCTCAGATCTGAAATCTAAGAGCTTGATAAACACTGTGGCAATGGTATCTGTGCAAATAGACACACTCAGCAGTATTCCAGCAAAATCAAGCAGGGGAACTAAATGTCGTCTTGGTTCTTTCTCATAGATTGCTCATTGCTTAGGGAATAAGACAAAGCAAAACAGAACGAAAACTAGATTTTCCATGGGAGTCATGGTGGATGTGCTTTGAAATTTGCTAATGTAGGTCTGGTAGAGGAAAGTCTGGTTAGGACCTGTTGGGAAGATACACCATGGCTTTCCCTATCAATCTAGTTAGAAAAATGAGTAAATCAAGCCTCTATAATTAGTCTCATTTGAATTTTTTTTTTAAGACAGATGAGACCAAAAGAAGGCAGAAAATGCTGACAGAAGTCCATAGCTCAGGTCTAATTACAGTCCAGTAGAGCCCAATAGTTGTTGCCCTGCTTCCCAGCAGCCTGTGACTTTTAGTTCTTTTCTGCTTCAACACTGAAAATCGTGACTCTGGTTCCCATGGGAAAAAACTGAATTAGCTAATCATTGAAAAGGACATACCTGGCGGTGTCTTCTTTGGCCCGAGCAGGCCTGGGTCCGGCTCTTCAGAGAATCATGGGCTGTTTAGTTGGCCACAGTGATAGCAGTTGCATTTTTCAGGGTTGCCTGCTGAACTAAAAATTTCCTTTCCTTTTTGTGTGGTTTTAAAATGTTACAAACTGACGTAGATGAAACTGTGGTTTGCAAATGGTTTAAGCTGTATGAAAGTCTCCTGGGGAAGTTTTTTTTCTTTTGTAAGAAAACAATTTTATCTATCTTAAGTAACTCAAAATTGTTGGGTACTGTTTTAGAGAAGGTAATTTTCATTTATCCATTATAAATACTTTGCCTGCTTTTTCTTTTGTTAATAGAAGTTCCTCAGACTGTTCTGTTTCATGATAGTTTAAAAACTATCAGTGGTAAAGGCTTGAAAATGATGTTGAGTTTAGGACTTAAGACAGTAAAGTATTTAAGCAGATACTTGTTTAGTATAGTTATGGGCACCAACACTTCAAAGGTACAATTAAATAATATTGTTGCACCTTATATTCTTGCTAAGATAGTTGTTAATTTAAAAAAAAAAAGCCCAATACAGTGGCTGGTAGACTGCAATCCCCGCATTGGGGAGGCCAAGGGAGGGTTAAAGGCATGAATTAGAGGCAGCTGGAGGCAGCCTGGGCTCTATAGTGACTTAAAGACCAGGCTAGGCTATCGAGTGAGACCATCTTAAATGAACAAAATTGAATCTGATGGGTCGTAGTTGACTTTGTTGTTGTTGTTCATACCAGAAAAATATTTTTCTACATTTATTATTTTGTGTGATGCATGTACCCATGTGTCATATAGCATGTTTGTGCAGATATATAAGACTTTAAGGATTCAGTTTTTTCTTTCCACCATGCAGGATTGTACTCAAGTTGTCAGGTATGGTGGCAAGTGCCTTGAGAGCCCTTGAGCCATCTTGCCAGCTCCATTTTAGAAAATTCTTGAAAGAAAAAAATAGCATTATTGGAACAAGAGAGAGATAACTGCTAATCTCCTTTTTTCTTTGGTTTATGTAATTAACTTTTTCTGTGTTTATCTAAATGTTATTGTGCATCTGACTTCAGAGTTTTTCCTTCATGAATGTATCACACATAAAACAGGGAGCTGACTCAGCAGGTTACAGTGCTTGCCATGCATGTCTGACACCCCAAGTTCAATCCCTAGAACCTGTGTAAAGGTAGAAGGAGAGACATACTCCACAACTCATCTGCTGACCGGCACATGTGCACCATGAGACACATGTTTCCACACTCGCGTACACACATTATTTTAATAGTGCATTTAAAAAAGTTAAAGAATGTATTTCATCTATTTTCCAAGTTATGAGGCTAAAACAGTCAGAAAGTATTTTTCAGCTTCACTTAAACAGCTTGATGAATTGAGGCATGCATTTAGCAAGTTATACCTTATGTTGCATAATTAACTATTCCCCTGCAATGAGAACATGTTAACTCGTGTCTGAATGGAGCCCAGCTCTAGAGGTAATAGCATGTCTGGTCTGAATGGGAAGTTTTGCCTCATTAGTGATTAGCCTGTTTTTCTTTCATGAGACTAGACTCCCGACCCTTTTTCTTTCTGAGTTGCTGGAGATCAAAGCCAAGGCCTTGAGCATAGGAAGTTAGAGCAAGTCTAGCTTTTATGAAAGTGACCATGAGCTTCTGGCCCTAAACATACATAATTTGATAAATACATTTATTGTGATAAACATAAATTTTCTTGTGCTAAATATGCTGATGCACAGTTAATTTGTAAGTGCCAAGCTGTGGCCTCTGTAGGAGAGACATTTGCAGGAAAGAAAGTTGAGGTATTCCATCAGAGCTTTCATTCCCTGGGCATAAGTGTAAGGTGAAGAGAATTTAGAGGTGGATTTGGTTGCAAATTGGGTAGTGAGTAGTTTTAATGAGATATGAAGAAAAATTGGGATAAACTATTTCTGGTGAAGTTCTTCTTTATTTTGGGTAGGTGTTTTATCTGTTTACTTCTGCTTTAGTTTAGGTTTAGATGACCAAAAAGTACAAGCAACTAACTGTTGTTAAAATTCGAAGACTACTGTTTATGTTTGGGTTGCCAAATGTGAGCAAGCTAACGTGCCTTGGTTCTTTGTCCTTGCACCTCATTCCAGGAGCAGCATGAACATATCTGTTTGGTTTTTGTGTTTATGAGATAGGATCACCCACATAAACCCAGGGTGGCCTCAGACTCACAGGAATCCCCCTGCCTGAGCCTCTCCACTGCTAAGATTACAAGTATATGTCACCATTGCCTGGCAGGAACTCATTTTGTTATAGTGAAACCAGATTTTATTTTTCATTTTTTGTTTTGTTTTGAGACATGGTCTCATTACATAGACAGGCTGGCTTGAATCTCCAGATGCTTTTACCTCTGCTCTCTGAGTTTGGGATTACCAGTCCATCTGCATTCTCATTTTGAGAATAAATTCTGACTATCTGAGTTGTTGGAGAATATTCTTTCCTCTCTTGCCCTCAGTAACTTTTCAATTTTGAATATTTCATACACAGGTACTATATCTATATCATTTCAGTCCCTCTTTCTCCCTGCTCAGACTCCTCCTGTGTCCCACAGTCATCTCAAATGCACGACTTCTTCTTTTAATAACTATTTTATACCCACGTGTATATGTAAATATAGCCTGCTGAATCCATTTGGTGTTGCTTGTAACTGTATATATTTAGGGCTGATTGCTTCAGATTAGATAATTCATCGGGAGGTTTATCCCTTGAGAACACCGATTCTTCCTCCTGAAGCAGTCATTAATGGCCTGTATTTCTGCATCTGGTGATGGGGCCTTGTGATACTTCCTCCATCCATATTGGGGTGTCACCTGGTGGTATCATTGTGACTATAGCTTCCTTGTGATATACTGAAGACACTGTCTCCCAGAAAATGTCCTGGTCATTTGGTGCTTATAATCTTTCCAGCTCCTCTTCTGACATGGTCCCTAAGCCTTAGGTTAGGGGTTGTACGTAGATATATCAATTGGGACTGCACACCCCACAGTCTGCTAACTCTTCGCATTTTGGCAGACCGGCGATTTCTCTAGTAAGGTCTCCATCTGCTGCAAGAAGAAGCTTCTTTGATGAGGGGTGAGAATGGCACTTACCTCTGGGCAGAAGGGTAAGTATTTATAATGCAGTTAGGAATTACACTGGTTTGTGAAAAGTAGCGGTAGTAGGTTCTCTAGAGTCCATGGCCTCACCACCTAGGCACAACTGGCTAGGTTTATAGTACCAGGCATGATTTCTCTTATTGAGTTAGCCTTAAATCCCTTTAGAAAGCTTTGTTCAAACATCTCTAAGATCTAAGTGCCACTGTTTCACCCTTGGGGATATCTTGCCTTGCTGGCCAAGCTGTAGTTTGTAGGTATCACAGCCGAGGAGGACTGTTGATTGCTCGTATCCCTTGGCAGCTTGCACAGCAACTTAACATGCTTGAGAATCCAGGGAGGCTTCCGGGTCAGTGCCAGCTCAGCTGGAGGCAGCTCCTGTTTCTTAAGTGTGTGGTGTCTTCAGCAGAAGGGTCTGAAGTTCAAGTTCTGGGAGACAACCAAGGGCGAAAGCAATACCTGTATTGTTTTGGGTATTTCTGTCCCCCTAACAAATGGTTAGACGGCAGGTTCCACTTGCCTGGTGCTGCAGTTTTTGTTAGATAGTCTACGGCTCTTGGGGAAGCCATTATCACCCCAAGTGCTGTAACTTCATTCAAACTGTATGAGTGTTTATGTATATATACATGCACGTTGATGTATAGTATATATTGGACATAAAATAATGTTTGCCTGTGACTTTAAGAAAACATTCTTAGTGTTACCTATCACTCCCGCTTCCTTCCCTCTCTCTGTTTTGTTTATGTACCCCCACATCCCTTCCCCTTTCAGTTTTCCCCTTCATAGCCCCTGTGTTCTGCTCTTCTCCCTTCTAGAACTCTAGCTATTGTTTCTAATGCACGAGTTTCCTTTCAGTTGCCTGAAGCTCCTTCCTGTCTCATCAAGGCTAAATATTTTTCATATTATATTCTGTTAATGTTCCAGGAAAATGCATGTCATCACTAACCAACTCACTGTTTCAGAAACCCAAGTGGGAAGAAATGAGGTAAAGGTATTTTCCCCTTATCTTGGTCATGGCAACACTTTTATTTAAGAAATGATATTTTAGTTGTTTTCATGTATATTTTAGATGTATAAAATGCTAATTTTCCCCACAGATTGATTTGTGTTCTCTTCTGCTATCTATAGCATCATTTAAAAAATTATTCAACACAATTACCAGATAATAGTATTTTTAAATTAAAAATTTTGATAAATGTATATGTGAGTCCTCTGTATCATTTCTGTCCTTTTGCTAACTCCTGTTATGTCCTTCTTCCCTTTCAAAGTCACAGCCTCTTATTTTTAAATTATTTTTACACATGTATACATACGTATATACAACCTACTGAGTCTGGCCTTGCCTGTGTGTACACGTGTCCAGGTCTAATCACTTGGAATTGGACAATTTATGTGGGAGCATGTCCCTGGACAAAAGTGATTCTCTCTCTCAGTGGCCATTGAACCTGTAGGTCTTCATCTTGGGGTGGGACCTTGTGGATTTCCCTTATCCACACTTGCATGTCAGCTGGTGCTGTTAATTACGTTGGTCTTATTTAAACAACTATACTGTTTAGAGTTCCGAGGTGTCTGCCTCCTGTCATATCTAGGGGGCACTATTTAGCAGCAGACACCCTGGTCCTGAGGCTCCTATAGTCCTTCCAAGGTGTTCATTGAGATGTCTGAGGTGTGGCTGGGCATGCCACAGACACTTATCCTTTGCATTTTCACCAGCTGTGGATCTGTGTAGTAGCCTCTGTCTGTTGAAAGAAAAAGAAAGTAACCAAATAGCTTCTTTGACAGTGAGCTAAGAACTATATTTGTCTTTGGGTTTAGGGATAAGTATTTAGAATGCAGTTAGAAATTTCATTAGTGTAGGGAAGTGATAGTAGGTTTTCTATTAGGCTGTATGACCTCTCCAGCCATGGGCAGTTGTTGGCTAGGTTTACAATAGCAGCATAAATTCCTTCCTTATTAAGAGGGTCTTAAGTTTAGACAGCTGTTGTTTTTCTCTAAGATAAAAATATCAGTAGTGCACTGTTATGGATATCTTGCTGGTCCAGTCATTATTGTGGTTTGTGAGCTTTACAGCTCGGAAGGACTGTGGATCACCTCCTCTGACGATATGAGAGCCAGCCTTTGGGAAGGAGGCTTCCAGAAGGTCAGTTCTAGCCGATCCTTCCAAGTTCTGTATCCCAAGTATGTGGTGGCTTCAGCAACAGGGTCTTATCTTCAGCTTTTAAATTTGCCTTTTAGGGTTCTCTACAACAGATATAAAACAGAGATAGTCCAAAAGGTCAAGGGGAAACGATGAGAGTCACAAGCACAGGCCCAGTTGGTAACCTTAACTCAGGAAGAATGAATTTTCTATTCAGATAACAACCTGCTATTTCAGAGAAACCCTGGGCCAAAGAGATGGTTCTAAAGGGGCAACGTTTGCACAGTTGTGGGGAACCAGGACACTGGAAAAACTGCCCTCAGTGGGGTTCTAAGAAATGGGGCTTTGCCTGTGTTCAGGAATAAAAATCACTAGAGCAGTATTGCCCTAGTCTGTAAAGGAACTGCGAACTGTTGCCTCCTCATGTCTGGAGCAGCCTGATGGGAAATAAGCATCTAAGCAGTAGTCTGACTGTAAGAGAAACCTGAGTAAATGCTAATGACAGCGAACCTAATTATGCTGTCGTTACGTGTTCTGTCTATACGTTTTCTTGCTGCTTGGATCTTTTGTAGCATGATTACATTTTCTGGTTTTGTTTTACTGATTTTTATTTCTATTTTGAAAAAATCTTTTGGGACAAAACTACCATCTAAAATTCTTTCTCATCTTCAAGCATTTTTTTTTCTTCAACTTTCTTCACCAGAAATGTATTTTATACCAACAGTTGTGTGGGTATCTCAAAGACATACCTGGAGCCCTCAGACCTGTCCTTCACTATCATTATCTCTTAATTTGGCACACAGGGGCTGGTGGCAGACTTAACCTGTGGGAACCGATTAAAATTTCAGTTACGCCGGGCGGTGGTGGCGCACGCCTTTAATCCCAGCACTCGGGAGGCAGAGCCAGGCGGATCTCTGTGAGTTCGAGGCCACCCTGGGCTACCAAGTGAGTTCCAGGAAAGGCGCAAAGCTACACAGAGAAACCCTGTCTCGAAAAACAAAAAAAAAAAACAAAAAAAAAAAACAAAAAAAAAAAAAAAAAAAAAAATTTCAGTTACACTCCAGCCGGGCGGTGGTGGCGCACGCCTTTAATCCCAGCACTCGGGAGGCAGAGGCAGGCGGATCTCTGTGAGTTCGAGGCCAGCCTGGTCTACAGTGCGAGATCCAGGAAAGGCGCAAAGCTACACAGAGAAACCCTGTCTCGAAAAACAAAAAAAAAAAAAAAAAAAAAAAAAAAAATTTCAGTTACACTCTGAAGTTAAAGGATTTGGGGCTAATTTGATACTTTTAATTTAGGTGACCACTCACTTATAAGCCAGGTTGGTATCATATAGACGGTGTCCAAAGACAATCACATGTAAACAGTACATATACACATAGCCACAGAAGAAGAAAGATTAAAACACCCGAAGAGTTTGTAGTTCCTACCTAGATCTGTCAGTTTTTTGTTTTTTTAAGTGTGAGTGGTGAGTGTGCATCTCTATGCAGAATCCAGACAATAGCTTCCAGTGTTTTCTATCACTTTCAACTTCATTCTTTTATTTCTTTTAGGCATGGTCTCTCCCCAAACCCAGAGCAGAGGCTGGCCTTGAAATCCTGATCACCCTGGCTTCTTCACTTTCTGAGTGTTTAGATTACAATGTGTACTGTGTGTTGGCTTAGCAAGTTGGTTGTTTTTTTTTTTTTAATGGTTCTTTTGCAGGGCTGTACTTTTGTAAAATTGTAATCCACATGCCATTGGACTCTAGCAGCCAATAGCTGACCCGAGGGAAATAGTGACTTTTCATTGATGATTACACAGTCACACGGTCGTAGTAACAAACAGATGCCCACATATATGCTCACCTAAAAGAAAACCCATGCCTTTTTTGGGGGGGGAGTGGGGAAGGTGTGATAATCTGTTTGTAATTTGCATAGTATCTCTTTAATCTTATTTTTGAAATTATAATTACATTTTCCCCTTCCCTCAAAACCCCATATACCAATGCTTCTCAATCTGTGGGTAGTGACCCTTTGAGGGTCGCATGGCCCTTTCACAGGGGTTGCATATCAGCTATCTGAATATCAGATATTTACATTATGATTCATAAAAATAGCAAAATTACAGTTGTGAAGTAGCAACAAAAATAATGTTATGGTTGGGAGTCAGCACAACATGAGGAACTGTATTAAAGGGCCGCAACATTAGGAAGGTTGAGAATCACTACCACATACCTTTCCCTGATCTTCAAATTCGTGGTGTCTTTTGTCACTAATTTTTTTTTTTTCAGAGACAGGGTTTCTCTGTGTAGTTTTGTTGCCTGCCCTGGATCTTGCTCTGTAGACCAGGCTGGCCTCGAACTCAGAGAGATCCTCCTGGCTCTGCCTCCCAAGTGCTGGGATTAAAGATGTGCGCCAATGCTGCCTGGCCTTGTCATTAATTGTTATTGCATGCTGATATGTATTTGTATATACATAGATAGTGCTAAATAGAACCTGCTCAGTCCCTACAAATGCTATCTGTGTGTATGTTTTCAAGGCTGATCTTTTGGCACTGGACAACTATGTTAGATGTTTTTGTAACAAGTTTACTAGTTGACATACCCTAGTGGCCAAAGCTGTGGGTGTGGCTCGAGGTGGGGGCTGACATAGGCATTCATTGTAAAACCAGGATTAGATTTGAACCGGTTTTTGTCTGCTTCCGTGGTGTGAGCCTTGATTCATTGGAGTGCTTGCACATCTGGAGTTTACATCTTTTTAGCATCCCCTTCCAGAAGGTTTCTTGAGGATGAACCTTAGGTTTGCTTTCCTTGGGTCAGTTTGGATCTTGTTTTGTCCCCATTTGTGACTGCTGGATTCAGACTAGCTACTTAATTGCCTAATGCTAATCCACCTCTACTAGCTATATGACTCACAACATAAAAAGTGGCTTTCTCAAAAAAAAAAAATGTTTTCTTCTGTTGCTAGGAAGAGAGGGTGGAGGCTGAGGAGATAACCAGTAGATGAATGCTACTGGGAACATTTTATGGAACATCTTCTTGGTTCACATCCCTCAGTGGACCCTGTGTGATTTTGGTATATTTCATTATGAATGCTCTGTGATCTGGTTTTTGATTCCTGCTCCAGATATTCCTTTCAAAAAAACACTTTAAGACATGTTGGCATAGGTACTTGAATTAAGCACAGAAATGGGAACTTTATTCTGGTAAAGAAAGCAGGGAGATTTTAATGAATGGAGACTTTAGTTCTTCTGGGCTGTTTTTGAACACCCTTTACTAGATTTCTGTATTCCAGATGTTGCAGGATGGCTACTGACATATCATGTTCTAGCCACAGATGTGTCTTCATTTGCTTTACACAATGGAGTATTACTCAGCCATTTAAAAATTGCCATCATGAAATTTGCAGGTAAATGGAAGAACGAGAAAAAAAAATCATCCTGAGTGAGGTATCCCTGACTCAGAAAGACAAAAATGCTGTGTATTTGCTTATATGTGACTATTAGCTGTTAAGTCGATGATAACCAAGCTACAATCCATAGAACCACAGAAGGTATGTGTAGAGTAAGGGATGAGAGGGGGCAGATAGATCTTGTCAAGAAAGGGAAATAGAAGGGGGGATCCAGTGGGGATGAGTGGGAGAGGGGGTTGTGGGAGGGAATATGGGGAGAGACAGCTAAAAAGCTAAAATTAAGGGGCATTTGAGGGGTAGTATGGAAACAGTAGAAACTGTCTAAAATATATACATATGTGAGGGCATTCTAAACAAAATTGCCAAATAATGGGGGAGACAGGGTCCCCACTGGCCATCTCTTGTCACCAAATGAAGCTTCTAGTACCAGGATTAGGTAACATGTAATTGAGTGGTTGGCCAAAGGCCCCACGGCAATCCCAAAACAACCCAGGCTGTTGCCAAGACTGTGGATTGCTCTCTATAAACTGACAGCAAGGCCTCATTGCTGAAGACAACACCCACACAGCTCACTGAACATGGAGAAATGGAGCTGGTGCCTACATGGAGCCTTCACCCCTATGTTCCAGTGTCTTTGGTATAGAAAGGTACTCTGCGTGCTCTCAGAAGAGGAATGTTAACACCAACCCTGCCACAAACTTTTTTTCAACGGTACACTGGTGTGCTTACTGCCTGCAAGACAGGCCAGTGCAGTGGCGGCCCAAAGCTTGTCAGAGTGGCCAACCAGTAATTGATCTGACTTAAGGCCCCGCAATGTAAAAGTCCCATGATTTCACAGTTCCTATAAAAATGAGGGAGCAGTTGGCGAGAGCTGAAAGACTAGACTCTTGGTGAGGCACAAGCTCTCAGCTCACCATCCTCTTTCTCTTTCCTGTCTTCTGGCACTGCTCATGTGGCCGTTTGAGCATCTGTGGGCACTCTGTTGTAGCTTCATCTACAGAAGCACCTGTGTGGTGTCCCCTGTGGCCTCTTTAGCTACAGTGGTGTCGGAAGCGTGCTTAGGTTAATCCCTGTTGCCAGTGCTCTGCCCCTTTGCCCAGTTGTTTCCCTGCACTTAATAATAGTTCTGGCACGCAGTGATTGCACCTCTGCTGTGGTTTCTGATCTCATCTGCCTGACACGTTGTTTCCTAAAACATCTCGCTTTCCTGTTAGTCGTCTGCTGTGGCATAGTAGTTACAAAGGCATTGCTTGGTCCTACAGGGGAAAGTGACTTTCTGAGGACCATGTTCACTATGTTGTAGGGAGAAGAGGATGGGGGTTGGAGAGATAACCCACATGACCCAAGCCTTACTTAGTACCTTTCTTCCTCTCTCACATTGGCTTCAGTAGCCTAGTAGGAGGAAATCTGCCCTGGCTGTGGGAGTTAGGAAGGATAATAAACACAGTCCCCTTCCCAGTCCCCATGTGCATTTAGCCAAACACATACAAGTGAGCTGTGTTCTTTTTGAGAGTTTCTTGACTGATCACTGGAAGCGTGGAGCTCTGTGGAAAGTGGGAAATGATGCCTAGGAGAGCCCAGAAACCTTCTGTTTCAGTTTTGGCTGCAGTTGGTCTAAAGTCTTACTAGGACTTAGAGTGTACGAAATAGTCATTTGGGAAAGTCAGAGACTAGTAGAATGTTTCCATTTTCTGTGTAACCACCTCCCTTGCACTGAAGTGTGACTAAGTATACTATACTGACCCGTGTGCGGTTGTGAGGAAATCTGGTGGTGTCCCTTCATACATTGATTACTAATAAAAAAAAAATCCCTGATGGTTTTGAAGACAACTTGTTTATTGGTACATACAGAGTGTAAAACATGAAGTAGATATGAGCATTAATAGAAAAATATTTAGGAGGCACACTTGAAAGATTGGGTGTCTTCTAGGAAGCAAATTAATAGCAGAGAAGGGTTTAGTTTAGAAAGAACATAGACAAGAAACCACAGGACAGCCCTCCATTCATTCCATTTCTAAAACATTGTGATATGCACAGACTTTCTTTTTATATGGAAACTTTGAATTTCATTGCACTGATTATTTCGAACTTCATTCTTACTGTTGAATAATACTGCTAGATAAGTTACTTATCATCATAAGCATGCATTTTATTTATACTTCTTAATTATCAGGTAACAACATGGACAGTACTTGGAAGGGGATGGGGATTCACAAAGTGTCTGTGCTTTCGTGGACTGTATTTCCCCTCTTGGTTTTGCAAGTGTCTAAGTCATTCTGGAACTTTAATGAGATGTGTAACTTCTTACTTAAGACTTCTCTAAATGGCTGGCATAAGAAGAAATAAATAATGGGGTCCAGACACACATTTGCAGCAGAGAGCAGCAGAGTGAATTCCTTCACGTAGAGCAGGGTTTCCTTTGACTGGCAGCTGTAATGAGCCTCCGTCTGACTCTTGGTGTAAGGGATTCTGGCAATGTGGTAAGGTACAAAGCAGACCACAAATACAAGCACGATGCTGAATATATTGCGGCTAGACTTCCTTTTGACCGAGATGGAATTCTTTCTGGACTTGAGGTGAGACTTGAAGATTTTCCTCGTTA